TTTCTTTTGTATAAATTGCTTTAGTTAGCCCAGTGGTATTTGCTTATTTAATAAAGGTAATGACTATTTGTATTTTCTTCTGGTAATCATCTATTTAGAAAATTCAATAAAAAGAATTGTATTGACAAAGAATATCAACTTGAGAATAAACCATCTGTTTGAATGTTTGTGTTTTTTCTTTTCGATTTAAAATCAATCATAATAGTAACAATGAGAAGTAAACTTGTAATATTATTCTGTTTTATTGCAATAATTTATCCGGTTACTTTATTAGATCCTTGTTGTAAAGGTAAATTAAATACAAATGAAATCTTACATGAAGAACCACGTTTTATTAATTCTATACGTAATGGAAAACCTTTTGTTGTTGGACAAGATTATGAAAAAATAAATATTGTTCATGTTTATGGTGGTACACCTTATGATGTGGGTTATGCATTTAGTCAATTAATGAGTGAAGATTTTAAACAACTTGTTCCAGAATATTTTGCTTATTTGGATAATATGATAGAAGATTTGATTAAACAATTATCACCCATAAAAATAAATATGGCACTTCTTTTTTCCTTCAATTTTTTTCTTTGAATAGCTTGTTGCAAAATGGATTGCTGAATACGGTTTACCTGGTACTCTTGATCTTAATTATGATATTGCTCGTAAATATACACCACCATGGTATAATGAAGAACTTCAAGATCTTGCTGCTGGTAGTGGTGTATGATATAAAGATACTCGTCGACTTAATCTACTTCCAGAATTAATTAATGCTGCATGGGTAGCAATTTGATTAGGAATTTAATAACAATTACAGCAGCTTTAAATTTCATTATAATTTTCTTTTTTCTTTTTTTTTTTATTTAATAAACAAAAGAGGGTGTGGGTGGGTGTGGGGTGTGTGTGTTGGTGTGAGTTTGGGTGTGGGTGTGGGGTGTGGGTGTGGGATGGTGTGGATGTGAGTGTTGGTGTGGGTGTGAGTGCGTGTTGGTAGGTGGTGTGGTTGTGGGTGTGTGGGTGTGGATGTTAGTGTGGTTATGAGTGAGGAGAAGATCCACGCCCACGCCCACACCTACACCCAAACCCACATCCACACTCACACCCACCCACATCCATATCCACACCCACACCCACACACTGTTAGATCGTGCACATAGAATAATGATCTAAGACGAAAAAGAAAATAACATCGTCTCTTCTAGTCTAACTGGCTTAGAACATCTGCCCGGATAGCAGAAGGTGTGGGTTCGAGTCCCACGAGGAGCGCATCTTTTTCGTTCTGTCATTGTATCATCTCCTCCTTTCGACCGTGTATGTAACTCACACAGCCACCCCCCCCCCCCCCCCCCCCCCCCCCCCCCCCCCCCCCCCCCCC